GGGGCGGCATCGCCTCCGCGTGTGTGGTGACCGCAGCGCGACAAAGCTCTCCGGACGGGAGCTGGGGTACGTCGTGCCTGTCGGCAGTGAATCACGGGGACAGGCTGTGTTAAACTGCGAAGGGGCGAGGGCCCAGGGGGGGCACCCGGGCCCGCCGGCACGTGTGGAGAGCGGGGGGCGGGGACGGGACACACGCGACACGCCCCAGGCCGCCCCTCTCCTCGCTCCTAAAGCACCCGGGATTCCCCCTTTGGGCTGCTGATGTCACCTGCTTTAAAAGAAAGAGAGTATTCTGGGAAAGCCATCCGGACTCTGCTGGGACTCAAAATACACTTGAGAACGATAGGTGGAAGTGTAGGTGCGTGTTAACTGTTGCAGCTCCCTGCCCTGCTGAAGCATCGTCCGTTTGAAGGCAAGCAAAAGGATTGTCCCGTGCAACAAATGTCCTCATGTTTCTTCTGCCCTCGCCACCTCTGTTCTTGGCCTGTGTCTGTTGAACCTGCGAGTTACACTCCTGTAAAGAAAAGAAAGCCAAACAGAGGCTAAAATACAGTACTGGGGCCTAGAAGTCTGTCCTGAGCATCTGTGATATTGGTCAAATTACTGAAAGCCAAATTAAAAAAGGAATCAAATGCTTACTGCTTACTTAAAAAATTAATTCCCAGACTCGTTATAAATCATTCCAGACAAACAAACAAAAGGCAGTGAGGTGGAATACAGTAAACACAATGTAAATGTGTTTTTTATAAAAATATCCATTGGGAAAATGTGTTGAAAAATCCTAAGCACTAAAAGTACAGAAGTGGTCATTAATGTTTGAGCTCATTCACAGGGACCACGCTCTATTTAAGTCTTCACCTCTAGCTAATGAAGAAAGGTAGGTGGTTAATGAGGTCATTTGAAGAAGAGGATTGGGCGTTCACTATTGCCAGCTGGAAGAAATGCAAGGCACAGGGCCTGGGATGTAATTTTGGCTTTATAAATACAATCCAAATAGGTTAGATTTTTCATGTCTCTTTAAAGTATCAAACATGTCTGTGTTTATTTTTTTTGTTATGTTTTGAGAGCTGTGTCTGCTCTGGGAGCACTTAGGGCATTGCCAAAATATGAATACTGATACACAGGAAAAGAATACAGTGTGGAGAAAGTATTGGCAAAGCCCTTTACTGCTGCAGTAAAACTGCCTCTGTGGGGATGCAATCTGCATCTATATACAGTTTTCCATTTTATTTTTGAAACTGTATCAGTCAAGAATGACACTAATTACTAACACTGCTTTTGGTAAAAATCCATGATGTAGTAGAAAGGTCTGAGTCCTTTGCTGCTCCTCTGGATTGCCATGTCAAGAAACTAGTTTTGTTGAGTTTTGTGACATAGTCACCCAAACAGTAGGAATTATTCTCAAATCTTTTGTTGTTGTTGTTACTTGATGATATACGTATTACATTATCTCTGAATTTGGTAGATTTCTGAACCATACTTCATGGCAGCCTTACAGGTAGGCTTTTTTTCCTCTCTGGTTATTAAATCCATCTAATCATAGTAAAAAGGTATTGGTAAGAAATGCATAGCATCAAAAATCCTAGCCAAGGGATTTTCAGAGATTTTTTAAAAATCATACACAATAGTGTCTTATAATTCATCTCCTTTTTTGTTTATGATGGAACAGACAATTCCCTTTGCACTTGGCAATCAAACCTTACTGTGTGACCCATACAGTTGCTTATAATCAGAATAGTATTAGAAAAGTTTAATATATTTTGCAGCTCTCGGTGTCACTTAGCAGCAAGAAACAAAAGGACCCATTTATTTCTTTTTACAAGCTGTCCTCTGTATTAAAGATAGTTTGCAATTAGTTTGGGGACAGCTTTTGAAATGAAAGTTGAGTGACCAACAGAGATGTTCTTTCTGTACAATGTTTTATATTAAAAATTTGCAAAGTTTTTTTTAATATGAGAGAGTATTGCTCATTTTTGCTGTACTAATATCAGGGATACACATCCTAATCAGCTTTATATTTTAATTGAAGGCACAGGGTTGCTGAATTTTACTGTGTGATGCTGTGAATGGGAAGCATTTCAATTATGTCTGTAAGCAAAATATTCTGAATATGCAATGTGACCTAAAATTACCTTTCTTCTAAATTAAGTAAAGTGGACTTAATTTTAAGTAATGTGGACTGAGAGAAAGCGCCAAGCTGGTTTTAGCCTTCAGTCGTGACGTAATGCCTCAGACACTCCAGTCGCTCTTGTAGTTTGTTATCAGAGCTAATTGGATGGTTCCCAAACCTCACACTGACTAATACAAGTTTTTCTTCATCTTTGTGTCTGTGTGCTCAAGACAGAAAATCTGTTGTCCTCTTATTAGCTGTTTGCAAGCCTAATGGGTTTTAAATGGTATTTTTTTAACATTTGAAGAGCAATCTTTGCAGGGTTGTTACCGGTGCTCAGACAAACAAAGTGCTTGTTTAGTGAGCCAAAAGTGGGTGGCCAGCATCATCCTATAAACAGAGACTTGGCAGTGGAAAACTTATTAACATTATTCATACACATTCTCTTTTCCAGATATAGATTGAGCACTGCTGGACTCTGCTAAGTCCATTCATTGTTCTGAATAGAAACTTTTCCTGGTTGTTTAGAAGTTTGTGCATACCTCACTTGATTAAATTTTAATATATAAGATACAATTTATAGATAAAATATGTAAGCTATCTAAAATATATCTTTGTATTGTAAGTTCTTACCTCAGAATACATCAAAAATTACCGAAGATGCTGCATGTCTTATTTATGTGCTTTCTCGAAACACCCTCTGATTCCATAGGAATGTTTGTCGGGGTTCTTGACTCTTAAGTGAATTTAGCAGAAAGCTAGCTGTTTGGAAAATTGTATTTCAGTCATTGGTAGGGCACTCCTTAGTAACATCTCAAGGACACAAGTAAACCAGTAAAAATACTGTATTTCTCTTACCATTCCCAGTGCAGCGGGACCCCTGCATCATTGCAGCGAGTCATGAAAACTTGTCTGTATGTTTTTCCCCCAAAAAAGAATGCATAATTGATTTTTAACTTCTTCACCCTTTGGATGTATATTGGCATATTTTTGGTTTGAAAATGTGCTCACGTGTGCTTGTCCCTCTTTGGGATCTTGTCTGCTTTCTCTTCTGCCTGCCCATTAAGGCGGCATTTTGCCTCGATGCACAGTGATGTGTCAGTGGTGGTGGGGCACACTTGCTAAGAAAGTGTTGGGTGTGATGACCTGGCATTTGGAAATGGGTATATTCCACCAGTTTTCATTTGGTCACAGCTGTCACCAAATCTGTGTGAACCTGTCTGAACTACATAGGCAGAAAGAACAGAGTGGTCTGAGAGGTTTATGGCTCCAGAAAAGGAGACTAATTTTTTCAGCAGTAAAACCAAAAGCACTCAGAGGGTAGTTGAGATCAAAATACATGTTATTCATAAATACACAAACTTACAGATTCCCTAGGTCAAATTTGTCTTCTGTTGGACACTTGCAGCCCCTTTTTGGAGTTGATAAACGTGCTGCCTTCTGGCAGAATTGAAAATAAGCCAGTGGCTTCTAGGAGCGCCAGGGCTGTGCAGTCTTGCTCTTTTTACAAGTGAGCCAGATGGCTGAGTCCAAAATACAGCTTGTCAGATTTCTTTGTAGAGGAGACAGCTAGGTAATTGCATCTTGCAGTAGTTCATGATATTTTATGACTCTATAATTATTCTTTGGTTTCAGTATATATTTTGTATGCAGGATCTAAACAAAATAATTAATTTGATTATCGTAAGTCACCTTGTTAAGCATGGATATTTACCCATTTCTTATTATTATTCATTACTTGACACAGTAATAAGGCACAGGATGGGAAGTTAATTCGTTTCTAACTACCTAAAGTAATTAATTAGAAATCTGCTTTCCCCAGGTGTACCTGAATTAACTCTCGCATGTCATCTGGGGGTTTTATTACAATACTTTTGGAAATTGCTCTTTCCAAAAAGTATTATTATCTTGTATTATACAGTTTGGAAGGATTATTATTTTTTTCCTTACATTTATATTTTGATGACTTCATAATGTTATTAAACGTTATGTATTTTGGAAATAGGAAGGTGTGGTAGGTTAGAATTACCATCATTATTCTTGGTGGCAGGAATGGAATTGTATCATACTTAGAGCATAAGCACTGAAGGTAGAGTTATAGTAGAGATTGTTAGTAACTTCAGTGCCAGAACAACAATTTTTACTACAAAGAACTGTGTGCAAACTAGATTTTTACGAGAATGTTTTTTAAAGTGAAGACTGTTACAATGTTAAAGTGACTGGGAAAAGTCACTTAGCCCTACCTCCTTAAAGCTACTAGCAACAGGATACTCAAAAGTGTTTGGGAGTCAAACTCTTGAAAGCTATGGATGGGATCTACTTTGGCATTTGCTCTAGTTTGAAATCAGCAAGAATTACAATTTTGGAGAATATGGCCCTCGACAAAGTCCTTGTTTCTTCTTCTATGCATGCTTTTAGTCATTCCCTTTGACTTCATTGGCCTTGGTATTTCAGAACTGCAAAGCCCTACCAGTTCCCATTGTGTCAATTTTGAGTACTGGAAGTCTTGTGGAAATGAGCGCTTCCATGTCTAATGGTAAGGTGTTCAGAATCAAACACCTAAATTATGACACCACATTTTAAAACCTAGATTAAAAAAATGAAGTTTAAAATGCACAAAATTAACGTAATATCACAGTCGGATAATGAGTTCCTGGGGGTGGTGCTTCGGGTGCCCCTTTTCACCACCTGTATTTTGCAGTGCTTCTGTCTATAGATGAATGTGTGACACTGAGCTCTGGTTAGTTGTACCAGATCCTGTTTTGTCCACTGTTGTCTAAAGCTGCCTTGTCTCTTTTCTCTTTTCATTTTTGTCTGAGCAGGTTTTTTTGCCTTTGATGAAATTTTGAGGATTTCAATGCATGTCATGCAAATGAATAAAATTTAAGATGTTCTGTACATTTGAATATTCATAATTATTCGTTTTAAAGAGAATTTGCTAGTATGTAATCTATCAGGAAAGTAACACATAGATAATTAAGGTAAATGTGCAGAGAATGGATTTCTGTTTGTTTGTATTATTGCATTTGTTTACTTTGATGCTTGGTGTATTTGCTTATGTGTTCTAACCGGCTTTGAATTCAGCACCAAAGTCAGCTTTTAAGGAACTGAGAATTATCTTCCATTTTAATGGCAGAATATATTTTTTCAGTCTTGTCTTGTTTACTATAGATGTATTAAAGAAGGCCTATGAATATTATGTATATTATATTCAGATGTATAAATGTGTGTATATATACACACGTTTGTATTTTTAAAAAAAAATTTGAAACACTGCCCTGCACATGTTTTCCCCCATGAAAAGGGTTAGACCCCAAATGCATCAAATTAAATCACTAGATACATAAGTCCTTGCATACTCATTATAATGAGCACAGGGTGGAAACTGGCATGGAAATGAACAGAATAGGGTAAGTTTTTATAGATAGGAGCTTATTACGTTGCTGAACGTGACTGCATTGTAGGGGTTGTTACTTCTGCAAAATATTCTCCTTTAAAATGTGTTCTCCTTGATGACTTTCATTATCGTTTCTCCCTTAAGTGGTATTATCTAAAGACAGCATGTTATTTGTTGGCCTTATCAGGGTGGATATTCATGCCCAGAGAATGTACGTTAACTGCTTACTCATTGTATAGAGAGCACTGCAACTGTTAGCAACCCAGTTTCTTTGAAGCTGAGCTATTAAAGTCACTGTTCAGTAGAAAGTCCTCTAGATCTAATTTAGATAAATTCCATTATTGTATTTCAGAGTTCTTTTGCAGTTATTTGGTAAACAATGAAGGTTCTCTTGCTGAAGGATCCCAAAGACAAAGACTCAGGACCAGATCCATATATTAAAGTGAGTAAACTTTAAAAAAAGGAAAAAATTGTGTCACTTCACTATTAAATAATAGTATCGTGTTCAGCAAGATAGATGAAGTTAACTGTTTCAAGTGAAAAACATGCTTAATCAAAATTAGGAGTGCATGTCTGAAATTAGGGTAAGAAAAAAAGTATGCTAGAAAATTTGCTGTTACTGAAAAAATTATTTTAGTTAGGGGGCCTTCGTACTGAATTCACTGTTAAAGTTCTCAGCAAAGTACTGATATTAAAACAATTTCATTTTAATTAATATTGATTATGTTCATATGGATAGAATTAAGATTACAAAAAATGTTAGTAGTCTTACTGGGAATGTAATTTGAAAAAGAGGTTACCTGTTGCTGTGGTCCTTTCTGCTATTACCTTCAGTCATGTGAGTAGGTCTTACTCGTAAGAGCAGTTGTATTGACTTCAAAGAATTACAGAGATGTACAAAAATATTTGCAGGACTAGGTGATCGTTTGTCACTTAGGGACTTCAGAGCTGTGTGCTGGTTTATGCTGTAACTATTCAGTAGCTATGTAGGAGGCCTCCGTTCCAGGCTGTTTGTTTAGTATTATGTGGTAATACTATATAGCTAACAAAACCAAACTAGATTCACTAGTAAAAGCAAATACAATGCCTTTGTATTTTACTTCAGTAAAAAGCAATATTTGTGCTGACTTAGTCAATTTTTTGAAAAAGAAAAAACTACTGTTTGAAATCTATTTCAAGAGCTGTAAACCTTTTTTTGACAGGAGTTGGGATTATACGGATTTGAAGCAACTTTGATTCCAGTTTTGTCATTTGAATTCATATCTCTTGAAAGCTTATTTGAAAAGGTAAGTTTTAAATTATTTCAGTTGTCTTATTTTCACCAGAATTTAGGCCATGGTTGCCAAGATGCCGTGTCTTATCTTGATTTAATAACGCCCTTTGTGATACCTCTTTTTGTGTTTCCACAAACACAGTTGTATCCAATACCGTATTGTATACAACATCAAGTATGTTGCCCATGCTTGTTAAAGAATTAAGTTGGTCAGATAGAATTCATATTTAGGTTGATGGACCATTGATAGTCACAGGTATCGGAGGATTTTGTCACAACAAAAAATTAGAAGACTGTAGTGACAACTAAAGGTTACCTGAGGTTCACCCTTACATTGTACTGAAATTGTGTACTGCATCTCCTAGTACATGGAATAAAATTGCATAATCGGTGTTCTCTTTCTACTCTTTCTTCAACGTGTATATTTCATTTTAAAATGTTGAAAAGGTTTTCCGAGGGAGGTTCCCTTTATTGACAATCTCCAACAGCACTGAACTTTGTTAGGTGTTTGCGTGTATTGTGATCTGCATTTACAAGTGATCCAAGAACATTTCTCCTTTTTTTTTGTACTGATCTTTGAGAGCCCATTAGTAATCTTAACTGCTCTTTAAGGGGGCAAGGAGCTGTCTGGGTAGTATCCTCTGTGTTACTACTTTGTTCTCTTGTGTGAGTTTGTAAGTAAGTACCTCATATGTCGTTCGCCCATCCTTCCAGCTCATTTCAGTGACAGGAATCCTTGTCTGTTCCTACAGATTCTCAAAATTAAAATAGTCTGTGCAAGTTTTGTTCTGAATTTGAGATTTGTTATACATTTCTCTTACAAATACCCTGGCTACTGATAGTAGTGAAATATTAGCCCGTTTCAGTTTCAGACATTTATTGAAACTGTTCTGTTCTTCACAAGATTATAAAGAATTGATCAACTTAATTTTTTAATTTATTTACTCATTTTTAAAATTTATTTCTTAAATTTACTCTTTATAAGTAGCTCTCTCATCCAGAATGTTATGGAGGCCTAGTTTTTACCAGTCCAAGAGCATTAGAAGCCATCAAGATATGTTTAAAAGAGAATAGTAACAATGACGGTAAGTGCATTTTTATATTCCTTGGTCTTTCTGTTTCAGCATTTTGTGAAGTTTGTAATTTTATTTCACCCACCAGTAGGTGATTGGAGTATGCCTTTTTTAAAAAAGCTTTATCTCATAGTTCTTTTGGTATCATAAAGGTGTCATGCTAAATTGAGCTTTTAAGGGTTGGGTTTTCCGCACTTATGCTGTTGTTAAAAATGAAAGGAAAGAGCTTTTGGTGCAAATTACTCATTAGTGTGAGCTTTTTCAGTTGTGGATGCATAGGGAATATTTTGTGGCTGTGCCTAGTTTTGCTTACTAACTACTTTCCTCCCTTACAGAGAGGAGTATGTTCTAGAAACTGGCCACTGCTACTTCTGTGCCTATATAATTCGTATGAAGTCTTACAGAAAAAGAGATTTCTCTGTCTTGAATATAAAATTTCTCAAGTGAATGAAGTATTAGCTAAAAAGCAATGAAGAAATGGTGATACATAAAAGCCAATAGATTAGTTGCGAGTAATAGAAATAGTGTTAAATAGAAATTACCATACCAATGATCTATCAAATCCTTGTAAACTCTTTTAAATTCTTACGCAAAGTCATAACTTCTGGCTTTGAGTTTCTGTGTACATTTAGTTTTATTACTTTATCTGCTCCATACTTGGGCTGTAGTCATACTAATCAATGTACAGTGAGTAAGGTTACACTCTTGAGGAAGCAGTAAATACACTGAGACTTTTAGTTTATTTTAGCATTTTCAACAGCAGAGGATTATATTTTAGGATTTTTGGTCAATGTAATCTCTTATCTAGAGTTCATCCCTAATCTTGATTAGGAATTTTGGGAGCTGCTGTAATACATATTTTAATCAATAAAACGAGTCTTCAATTCCTATTTGGGTTCCTTTCAAAGGTAATAAATCCTTATCTTTTTCCGACTTTAGAATAGTTTCCTCCGATTTTTTTTTTTTTTTTTACTGTTATAGTTTAAATTTCTATTTTTTTTCCCCCAGGAATACTAGAAAGGAAGTCAATGTCCTATGCTGTACTGTTTTAAGACAAGGTAGTAAAAGACTTAGTGTATCTATTTTTGACCCATTAGGATTTCAGGCATAGGGATCAGGTAGCTGGAACCAAGAGGTGTGATCTATAACCTGCTTACTGCCTGAAAGAGGAAAACCATTTAATAGTAATTTTATTTTGGTCTCTGGTACATTTTATTTCTGAGCTGATAACTTATTTTTGGTGTATGTTTAAAATATAATCAGTTACTATACTTTTCTTGCATAAGAAAGAGTTGCGTTATAGAGTACTGTAGTGCATGGATATAGATTTTTACCCTTTTATTTGTCGTCATAGAAGATTATATTTGGTTTTTGCCTAAGCCTTCAGTTTTAAACCACCAGTTTGTATGTCTAAATCTCCCTTTGTACTATGTGCTGGTTTTTCCTATGAGTTTTTATGCTTTTTTGAATTCTTAATGCCAAAATATAAATGAACGTTGCAAGTTGCATGTGATCTGGCATAGGCAAGTGTGCATTAAAAATGCTACTTAACAAAAGCAGTTAAGAACTGTTTACTCAAATTAGGCTTTTAAAAACATGTTGTAGACTACTATTTACACAATGGAAAAAATACATAAAAATTCATTTTGTACATCCAGGTTTGCTGAAATATGTAGTGGAGTATTAGTTATTATTATTTTGCTGTGTTTGTAGATTAAACAGAAGTCCAAATACTCATTTAGCATTCATATTTTGTTGCCATGTGCTTAAACTTAATGTAATGTTTTTCAGCCTGGTCAAAATCTCTTAAACAAAGATGGAATACCAAACCAGCTTACGTGGTAGGAAAAGCTACAGCTTCTCTAGGTAAGCTGGGGTTTAAAAAAAAGAAAACCTAGATAAATCTGCCTTGTAAGTACAATTTGTGGAGTATTAGCTGCTATTCAAGGGTGCTAAGAAAAAAATACAGCTAAGTTTTATAAATGGATAATTCTGAAAACAAGTAATGGTATACGTGCTTACTTCATCTAAGGACCTAGCTTCTGGTTTTTCACTACTTTTAGTGTAATGTGATGGTAACTCCTTTAAAAATTTGGTCAAAAAAGAAAAAAAACCCCTTTGTTCTTAATTTACATGTGTTTTTTTCATTCACTTTGGAAATTAAATTGGGTGAACGGGATGATAACATGATTGTCTGTGATTGTACGAAGTGTGACGCACTGGCCCTTCATTCCCTCAGTGTTCCTGTGAGGCATTTGCCAAACAGAAGTCAGCAGTATACATCTGTCGTGGTTTAACCTCGGTTGGCAACTAAGCACCACGCAGCCGCTCGCTCACTCCCCCCCCTCCCGATGGGATGGGGGAGAGAATTGGAAAAGCACGTGTGAAAACTTGTGGGTTGAGATAAAAACAGTTTAATAATTGAAATAAAATGATAATGATAATAATATGATAATAGTAATAATACACAAAGCAAGTGATGCACAGTACAATTGCTCACCACCCGCCGACCGATGCCCAGCCAGTCCCCGAGCAGCGGCCCCCCCAGCCAGCTTCCCCCAGTTTATGTACTGAGCATGACATCACACGGTATGGAATGTCCCTTTGGTCAGTTTGGCTGTGCCCCCTCCCAGCTTCCTGTGCATCTGCAGCCTTCTCGGTCGGTAGAGCATGGAAAACTAGAAAGTCCTTGGCCAGTGTAAGCACTACCTAGCAACAACTAAAACATCGGTGCCTTATCAATTTTGTTCCCATCCTAAATCCAAAACACAGCACTGTACCAGCTACTAGGAAGGAAATTAACTCTATCCCTGCTGAAACCAGGACAACATCCCGTTGTCTTCAGTGGGTCAGCTGCTTTATTTGTCTTGACACTGGTTTTAATCTGATGCAATACATATTTTATGTGCATAACAAAAATGCAATGTAGGTTTTAGTTTATGAAAGCCTTTCTTATTGTAAAATTGCATTGTAGCTTTAGCTTCCACTAAACCACACAGGAAATATTATGAAAAGACTAACGTTAGAGAATTTTAAAAATTTTGATGTTTTTCTGCTTCTAGTCCAAAAATAATTTGGGTAAGTACTGGCTACCTCTATAAAAAGTGTATTTTTTCAGGCAGGCTGGTAACAATGCTGGATCACTGACCAGTGATGCCTAACAAGCATGTTGATTCAATCAAGTCCCAAATTAGTTAACTTCTCGGGGATTCATCTTATCCCTACTTACTTGCTTAAATAAGAGCAGTGTTATACTCTCAGATTTTCCGATAGGATTTCAGCCTTCGCTAGAAAGAACAGCGATATGCTCATTGGGAAGCTAGCTGCAACCAAACCATGCCAGGAACTGCAGCCCATTCAGCATAGTCAGACAGTGCGCTTTCAGTTTCACGGCTTCAGGTACAAGAGTTTAAAAAATCTCCAAAACAGCTTAGCTATCCCCAGAATTCTTCATTTGTACTTTTTTCATGTATGTCTTTCTAGAGGCAAAATCGAATTTTCCATAGCATGTTACTACTTCAAGTGGTCTGGTTTTTTTGCTTTTCAAGGAAGTATTTGTGTGGGGGGGTCAAATTGTGTCTCCCTTTTCAACCGATGTTCCTGTGACAGTAAATCTGAATTGTTCTCATTGATGTTAATGTTTTTCTTCGCTACTTTTGGTTATAGTGGAAGAAATTGGCCTTACTCCACAAGGAGAAAATTCTGGAAATGCTGAAAAATTAGCTGAATATATTTGCTCAAGTAAGTATCTAAAATCTTGTACTTAAATTAAGCTAAGGTACCTTCCATTGTTTCAGAATTTCCTATAAATATAATGGAGCGTACACTGAAGCAGAGAAGTACATACTGCATTTATCTCTTACATGTAAAACCTGTGAATTCAACTTCTGGGAATGTGGGTGATATCTCTAAAAGATGATAAAAAATGCTTTGAAATACCTATACTAAATATTAATTTACATGAAATCTTAGACTCTGTAATTGATTAATAATACTATATGACCCAATAGACAAAGTATTTTTTTACTGAAAGATCAGAGCTGTAATGATTGAAAATTGCTCCTTAATCATAAGATTTAAATGATTGTGACTATAGGTGTGCTGGTTCTCTGTGAACTTCGGGTGACCTGACTTTCCTTGCTTCAAACCAGTTGATGCTGGGGATTTTTCACCATGCCGTAGTTCAAAGTAGACAAGGGCAACTCTTCCTCAGCATGAACACGTGGTTTCAGAGGAATCTATTTTTCAGCACCAAAGGAGAGTGGTTTTGAAGAAGTTGCAGAAAGGGTTAGTTAAAATGATGGTTTATGTTTTGTTTAACCATTTTGTTATGGTTAAAGGTGTAATGCTGATCTGTTTGCTGCTTCTAAATGTATTATCCGATTGTTGGGTAATTTTAAAAGTCTAGTTAGTCTACTTCCTCATTTTTTTTTTTTACTGTAATTTGTTAAAATTTCTGATAGTAATAAGAAACATTTTTAGGCTTAGGGGCTGATTATTTTTTGAGTGGATGGGTCAGTACAAGCTGTGAAAAAAGAGGCTGTGTTTTGTACAGCCTGGGTTACAGAACTCGGGTGAAGACTGTCTTAAGCAGGAGCTACCAGTGCAATGAGTTTGACCTCAGAGCTTCTGACACACGTGGTGGTGTTCCAGGGGATCGATGACTGAGGTGCATGCTGCTTTCAAAGTGTCTGTCTTGAGTATCAGCTGGGAGGAACAGTTATCAAAAGAAGTCAGCAGAATTAGTCCCCAAGCTCTCTGAAACTGACTGCTAAAATAATCTCTGTACCAAGTGAAAATCACATCTAAGATTCAGTATCTCAGCAGCAACCTGTTAGCTGGCAGATCCTTCTCTGTGCTTTTATATGACCTGGGGTACATCCCCGCTCACGTGAGAAAGCAGGGAGCTGTATAGTGGAGCCTCATAGTGAAATTAGAGGGTAGCTTTCAGTCTGATACAAAGGTACGTCCTTTGCTGAAGGACTTTCTGCCCCAAATTTAAAAAGGGAAACAGAAACCTTCATCTAGAGGCTCATGCAGTGTCTGCTAATTGAACAGAGAATGATTAACGCTTTGAAAAGCCATGTTATTCAGCCAGCCAAGGTAAATAGTCTGCCGTTGGCTAACCCTAGTCAGAGAAACAAATGACAATCAGTGCAATTATTCTAGAGGTTGGATGAATTACTGTATCTGCTGGTTTAAAAGCCCTACTGCTGACCACACTTTATGAACTTGCTGAATAAGGTGCTAGGTGCTTCGGTAGGGGAAATGATGTCAAGAACCCTGACATGTTATTTTTGGCTGTTACGCGTAACATTAGATATGAAAAAGAGTGTTGATTAGCAAAGTCTGTGTAGTAGCAGAGATTTATAGGTAAAAGAAAATCTGATTGGAGCTGGCAAGTATTGTTTTTTATGGGCAGAGTGCTCTGTAATTCATTGGCAAATAAAATATTTTAACTATATGGAATACTTCGTGATAAAAATGATAGTTGTCAACACAAGATTAAATAATAAATTCTGAAAATTAAAAATGAAATTTTCAACACAAAAATGCCATAAATGAAGAATAACCCATATCTACTCTTCAACAGATATTTTAAAGCAAAGACAGGTTTTAGCTAATTTTTTAGCGCTAGAAAATCTAGTTTCGGTAATGAATAATGATTGCCAGTTTACAGAAGGAGGGTTTTCTGAGATGGAAGACGAGAAAAATATCTGTCTCTTCTGTTGTATGAATGTGAAAAAACCTAGGATCAGGTCTAAAGAAAACAGTGCGTGTAAGACCAGGGGTGGAAAAATTCCTCGATGGTGAGCCTGTGACTGGCACAGTTACTGCATCGTAACCTCTTGGTTATTTTCTCAGTCCAGCTGAGGATCATCCTGGCTCTTCCTCCTCCCTTGGGAGCTGCTTGGTTCACAGACCCTGTTACTTCTGACCGTGTTTGATCCCGTGGCTGTTTCCCCGCTTTGCCTGCACACTCCTGCAGTTAGGAGCTGGCAGTCACAGAGGGAGCCGGACAGGGAACAGCACTTTCTGGTGACAGCAGAGAAGTTCAGTCCAGAGCCAGCAGCAGCTTCTGATAGCCACCACTGGGAAAGGGAGAACTGTGTGTTTTACAGCCGTTTACATAGAGTATCCTGAGGGCGGTTTCATACCTGACCACCCGCAGGCTATTTAAATTAGCACAATGCTGCAACACTTCCATTATCCTTGCAAAAATGACCACCTTTGAATACCCTTCAGTTTTGATAACCGACCAGTGAATTTCAATCATTGGAGACTGCTTGTTGTTGATACATATAACCATGCCCAGTGATTTATTGGATTGTGCATATTTATGCGCTCTCAATTTATCAAGTGGTTTATAACAACCTCTGAAGTCCAGATTAAATTACATCATGTTCCCTATTCTGTAGATATTTATTTTTGTTTACGCATAAAATGATAAGTAAATGAAAAGAATAGCTCTAAATTTTTTACATCATTAGAATTTATTGTCAGAATAAAAATAAAGTCTGAAGCAATGATATTTCTTTTGCTATTCACCTTTTGTGCTTTGGTAGCCACTTCAACTGAAGTGATTGGGAAAATAAAGGAATTTACTCCTTAAGTCGCTAGCTAGCTTTACTCTCTTTTCAAGGCAAATATTTTTTTAGTTTTATTACAGTGCAACATTTGTGTTGGTTACAGAAGTAGGGGATACCATTAGGGCCAATGCTTGTTGTATTGTTCAGGCCTACTAAGGAATTTTTCTGTGTCTTGTAAACACAAGTCAAAAAGGATTAGTGTTTCTTTACAGATATCACATTGACATTTCAATTAACTGACATGGGTTGTAGGAGGATTAATGCTGAAATATTTAGGTTTTATCTTATTATTTTAAAATCTCTTACATTCTGTCCCAAGTTCATTCTTCTTTCCTGTAATTTATTACAAGCATATCTATGGCTTCTAATAAAACTTCAGTGTGCATTTAGGACAGTCAAATATATCTGTGTTGACTCCTACTAGGGTCTTTCCATTTGTTTTTTACTATGCTGTCCTTTTTTTCCCCTAAGGCCTCTCTGGTTCTTACCGTTATAAACCAAGAATCTACTTCCAGCACTTAAAAAAAAGCATTTATTTTTGTAGTAGTCGTCTCTTAAACATGTGTATTAACATATCTGAATTAGTAATAAAATAATGTGTTGAGGAACTCTCATTTATTTTGAAAGATGAATGCAAAGTTGTGTGCAGCTGTGTAGAATTTCATCCTGAAATTTTCTCTGTATTTGTTATTTATAGAAAAGGCAAACTCTGTGCAAAAAAAGTCTGCTTTTAAATTCCTATCCAAAAATTGAATTCTTCCTCGATTAAAATGCTCTTTATCTTTTGCAATGTGTCAATATTCACTTTTATTAGATAAAACCTAGTAGTGAAAAACTTTCCAAAACAATTAGTTTCAGCCCTAAACCCAGCAAACTATTGAGAATCTCATATAGACAGTGCTATTTCATTCTTCCCGAGCCAGGTGTTTGCATTCACAATGTGATGATCATTGTCAGTGTTTGCACTTTCCTGTCTCCGGTGCGTGGGCGTACACAGCGTGCACAGGGAAAGGGCGGCTGCATGAGTGGAGGAGGTGTAACCCAAGAGATGGTGACACGAATACTATTACCCGGTGGTATTTTTTAAGCAGAATTTGTTTACTTCTCTGATAATGTATTAGAAACGTACAAAACCTATGGAAACTGCATCCCAGGTGTATCATGTCCTACAAGAGGTAAGTTATAAACAGCCATGTATGGGAAAAGTCCTTCCAAAATCTCCAAGGGGCTTTCACATGTTGGCAATGTAACAATAGTTAAGGTTGGAGGTCACTTCCATTTTAAAGGAGAAGAGCAAGTGAGGATATCCACTTCCACCCTAGCAATGGAAGTAGAATCATTTTTCCTTGGGGAAGTAAGAAAATAAGACTTTCAGATATATTGAAACTTTTCAGCAAAGTATTTCTGTCCTCTTCTTTGTCTGCCGGAACATTCTTTTCTAGAGAGAGAGCTGTCATGTATTGCATGGGACTAAGATTTTAAATATAAAATTGAGGAAGACTGTTTCTGCAGAGGAGGAGATAGCTTGCACCGTACTTATTCTGCTTTGTAGAATGGCAAGGGGACTAGAAACATAGTTTCTCTTTCATGAGATCTTTTTAGCCAATGTGTTCATATTATAGTTATGGAATATTTTTTAATTTACATGCTAAGTAGCCTCTGTCCTCTGAATTGTGGATGCAGTTGCAGTGCAAATGTTTTCAGTTATCTTAGGGCTGTGTCTGTGAGGAAGTATGCGGCACTTACTGCAGTGTTCAACATCTGATACCTTTAAAATGTATTAAATGTTTACTCTTTAATGAATACATAAGTAAGTTCTTGTTTGTGTGTTTACAGGAGAGAAACCTAATTCCTCAGCCTTTCTTTTTCCTTGTGGAGCCCTGAAAAGAGAAGTACTTCCTACAGTACTTAGAGAAAAAGGTTGAACTTCCCTTGGAGCCTCATTTTAATTAGTCAATTATGAGAAAAGTTGCATCTAAAGCTTGTGAACCAAATTTGAATAAGTAAAAATTGAATTTGCTATTATGTTGGCTAGAAGGTAGAGGAGTAAGTAAAGAAGTAAAAAAAAGTAAGTAAACTCTGAGATTGGATTGCTGCCCACAGCTCTGGGATTGGGTTGTAGTGTGACATGAGCAAGGTTGTTTGCCTTGTTCTTCACTTGCGTTCTCTTCTGTGATATGGAAGGCACCTTATTCACAGAAATGTTGCAAGACGTGCCAGTTTTCCAGTGTGCTTCGAGGTCCTCTGATTACAGATGCTTTAGTCTGTCTGGCAACTCTAGAAATACCTACAAATCCTTCACAGAATTTTTTCTGTACCTTCTTAGCCTAAAATAGTACACTTAAGTGCAGTTAGTATGTTGAGAGTGTTTTATTGAAATAATAGAAATTAATGAAACCCTGTTTAATTATGAATGTATATTCTGATTCCAGGTATACCTCTGGAAAGCCTTACTGTTTATCAAACCACCCAACACACTGACCTGCAAGAATCATTGAGCAGTTATTTCTCACAACAGGTATTGGACACTGATGTAATTTGAGAATTGTTGAGGTATATGGTAATAGCTAGCAGAATATGCTCCTTTTTTTCAGCTGTCTGTAAATGATACTGTGGTGGTAGAAGTATATCGTGCATAGGCTTCTTGTTTTGTGTCCCTGTTGACTACCAAGAAAATCCTTCAGCAGAAGTTTCAGATGGAGAGCGTGAGTCCCTCAGTTACTTGTTATGGCAATTGTAAATGAGCCTAAAAGACACAGTGCCTCCCTTTGAAGAAGGAAACAAAACCTTTCACATTTTGTCTAACTTTCAAACTATGTGTATGTTTCAGAATTACTGAGGAATAACTGCATAAATAACTACATATTCATTTATTCCTTTGAGCTGGGCAAGACTACTTTTTAAGTAATACCGTGTCAGAAATTACATTTAGCGAGGATATTTATTGAACAGCTATATTATTAATTTTTATTAGCGTAATTGAAATATCACTGGACATCTTTGCTATATATTAGAAATCAGAATCCAGTAGTAGTTACCTGCCCTACATAGTTTCAGTGTTCCTTCTCTGATTAGCCAGTTTATGAATGTAGTAATCTCATTTTAAGTGTTAGAATTCCAAGTGACGTGCTGTTGACAAGTGTATTGAGATATATCTGCTAGAATTGTTATTAATGTTTTTCTCTTTCTAAAACCATCTAGTAAATGTCATTAATCAAGGATCAGTGCATAGTAAAAGATTTGAAGGTACTAATAATTGCTTTTATTTTTTTCAAGACTGGCTTTGTGTGAATTTTCCATTTGTAGGAGCCTACCTCATATGTAGGATTAATCTTATTCCAAATGCAGGCTTTCCTTCTTACAGAAACTTGGCCTCCTTGGGCATGTTGCACCTCTTTTTAAAATCTGTGCATTAACGTCTTGCTAAATTACATACTGATTTTGAAGTTCTTTTTCAAGAACTTCAATAACTAAAAGGTTATGGCATGGGCAGTCTAACTGATACATTGTAGTATCCTGGCATTCCCAGGTGGGTATTGCAGTTCTGAACCCCACGTATTTAATTTACAGCAGTTATAAAAGTGAGTCAGTAGTACATATGCATTTTGTAACTTTCTGAACTCTGTTTATGGAACTCCTTGCTTGCTGCAATTAGATGTTAGTTTCAGTGTAAAGCTATTAAAATGTGTTTCTCATGCACTTTTTAGTTCTTCTTAACGGATGATATTGTGGGTTTACATTTAGTGCATGGAGAGCTGACATAAAATGACAAATGTTTAGCACTTTGTGAGAAAATGAACAGCACTCTAAAACTGTCATTCTGGCCTCCATGAGCTAAGGCTAGCTTCCAAGTCATGCGCTATAAAATAACAACAGATGTAGTTTGAGTGGAACTAGTTATCTTTCTTGTCAGAGAGAAAATCATGATAAAGCAAGCATGTGCTTTGGGTCTGCAGCTCAAGAGCTTGGGACCTTCACTCCAGACAGCATTTTGCAGTTTTATTTGGCTACAGAAGATTGCTGCTGCTATCTTCAGGCAGGCTTCTTCTGAGAGAGAAAGCCCTTCCAGGGGTCTGCAGTTTTAAGGCATCACCTCATCACCGCATCTCAGGGCAGGCAGAACGTGTCGGGTAAACCACATGAGCTGCGAAACAGAGAATATGTGCAAAACTGAGATAGATGGGAATGGATTTAGGGAAATAACTTGCTGAGTTTTCTTGCTTAAACAGGAAAATGAGTATGGCTCCAGAACACTTTCCGTGCATTTATCAGCAAGCGCTTGTTTGACAAAGTATTTGGTTAAAGTCACACCTGAATTTCAGCATTCAGTAGAATGGGGGTTTGGCAGGCTGTCTGCACCACAGGAAACCCTTTCTGTTGGCTTAACTGCTGTTTCTCATCAATAAAAACACTTCACATCCATATAGAGACAGTTGAAGGGATTTATGTGAAAGTGTACTGATACACTGCTGGAGTAGTGAGTAATCTGTGCCAACCTATGGTTACTTTTACTCAGGGAATTCCAGCAAGCATCGTGTTCTTCAGTCCATCTGGTGTCAAATTTTGCCTCCAGCACATTCAGAAGCTTTCGGGGGATTTTATCAACCATATCAAGGTATCTTCTCTTTGAAAGTGGTGAAATAAAATAGGGAGTAAGTTTGGGGTGGGCGAATGAGAGATAGGAAAGCTGTCACACCCATTACAAACCTTCATTTTCTCTTTTGTTTGTGTTTATTTCTCTGAAAAAACAAGTTATAGCAAATACAAATGTTATTATATAGCTGAGAGCCTTTTTTTAAAAAAAGAAAAAGGACTTGTTTTCACCTGGAATTTTTTTCCCCAACTAACTTGCCCAGTCTCCACTGGGTATAAGCTTTATTTTCTCTTACTGATGTGAAGGTGTGAATAGTTCTTGCTTGAATCGGCAATTACAGGCTGAGGCATATTAAAATTCCTTTCACGTTTCCTGTTTCGAGGGACTAAGAGCTTTAAATGTTTGTAATGGCGAGATCAATAATAATCTTTCCTATGTAATTTCTAAGTAGCTTAATTGATAAGCCATTATTAATACTGAAAATCTTCAACCTGAAATGGTAAGTACAGTTTAGGAAGCTCAGCCATGCAAGCTGATACACTGACAATGTCAGCAGAGAAGGAAGGGTATGTACCTAAGTAACTAGCAAGAGCTGATGCCGTACCTAACTACGCTATTGTAACTGTAAATAACGTCATTTCAGTTTGCTGCTATCGGT